TTAGAGTAGTCGCCCGGATTGCGAAAGGTCGTGGGTTTGATTCCCATCTCAGGGTGCCAGGGACCAAGTGAATTTTTTAAGCATTTTGTATTAAGAATAATTTTCAGTATGGCATTGTGAATGCAAAATTAATCAAAATATAATAATAATAATATAAATAAATATTAGACAACATCACATACGTTGGTCGGATTCCAAGATAGTATCTAAAGCCCATGTATTATGGAGTAACTAAGTCAATGAAACGACAATCGTCTTGTTGCATGATATAGTATTGTTTTGAAAGTAGCCATACTCCTAATTAAAATAGAATTTTCAACACGGAACCTGTAAAGGGTCCGAAACGTCAAGTTAGAAAATGAAAAAGTTGTTTCATTAAATATTTGTTTCTCTACTCGCTTTTGTGAGGAATCAAAATATTGAATTGACTTTCAAACACAACTCATAGTTGTCGAATTATTAATGTCACGTTCTAGAACTTATAATTATCTGATAGAGAAAATATTGATTTGTTTATTTAGTACCTTAATCTTTGAAGAACTTCAATTATTTATATTTACTTAGTTTAAAATCATTTGGTAATCGATTAGATATGGTGTACTAGATAAATTTAAACATTTGGTCGTAGCGTGATTCTAAATGTCTATTTGTTATCAATCTTTACTACAAATAAAGAAAATACCAACTAATTGCTACTTTATACAAACTGTTTAGGAAAAGTTTGAATGTGAGTTTGTATGTATCTTACAAGAACTACCATACTTATTTATAAAGTTACCATTTCCTAGATAAGTAAGTATACACAGCTTTACAATAGGTTAATACAAAGTCCTCTGTTATTAATATATTTCATCAATATTGTATTGACAATGCTAGGTATACTGGAAAATTTAATGAAATATTTGTAAAAAGATTTCTTTCGGCTATTTAGGTGTATTGCCTGAACATGAATGAAAAAACGCTCTTCAGTAGCGAATAGTAACAAGTGTTTGAATAATTCGTCAGTCCTGTTAGGTCTTGCGTAGCCAGCGCGGTGTATGGCCACCGGGCCGATCGCGTGCATCGCCTTCCATGCGTGGGACATCGCTGAGTTTTAGTGGGTAAACTCCTGTTTCTTGTCTAGCCCCTTCGGGTGTGGGGCCGCAGAAGGAGTCCAACGTAACTCGTGAAAACCGCGCTGGGCGTAGCGGTATGCGTAACGCATTTCTCAGCGTCAAAAAAAAAATCCTGCTTAGCTCAGTGGTTAGAGCATTCGCCTGGATTGGGAAAGGTCCCATTATTGAGTCCCATCTCAGAGTACCCGAGGCTGGTGGATTTTTTAACATTATTCATTAAGAATACTCTGCTATTAATTTTGAATTTGACTATAACCGTGAAACTGATATCTATCAACATCCTGCCAGTAATTATTTGCAAGATCTGAAGGCCCACTCTGTTCCGAAACCGAAATTAAGTTTATTTTCATTACGCATATACGAGTAGCACGTTAAGCCGTTGGTCCCGGCTGCATTTGCAGTCGTTAATACCATCTAATCCGCATTGGGCCAGCGTGGATACATGACCCATCCTCCCTAACCATCCATAAGGAAGGCCTGAGCCCCTGCAGTGAAGACGTAAAAGTAAAGGGGCTGATGAAGATGATCTACGACTCCAAAGAAGCTTATTATTTGATAATTTATGATGAAACACAGGTAGGACTTGACACCGTTTCTGATGCAGAGATAATCTTCACGGATATGATATTAATAAAATTATAAAAACATTTCCGAAATTTCGTCTATGCCGGGGACAGAGTACGCCCTCTCCTGTGCATGGCCCGTACACAAATTTGCGTGTAGGATCGGCAAATAAATCTCGCATAAAGTTGCTTTTTGTACATGTGATTAGTTGACTATGAAATACTTTGAATTTAACTATTAACAAACTATTAGTGCGGACAGGAAAAATTCGACCTTTTGTATGGTATTTATCTTTTTTCTGCATATCACAGAAACTTAAGACAGTATCTATAAAAAGTAAGTAAATGTTGTTTAATATTTATGAGTGTTAAAACAATATTTCATTAATCCCCGTCAGGTGTTCAAGTGATAATATATTCCATAAAAGTACTTTATTATCGACGGCCAGTTTAATTGCAGTGGTATATTATTTATTTTTAACTTCTCGCATTGAGTCATGCGCGTAAAGTATCTATGAGTAACGTGTAAGTGTCCTAGTTAATAATATTATCCAGTTTTTATATATTTCCAGTAACAACAGTTTCTTAAATATACAAGTAGTACAAACTTCATAACATTGACATTATCAAAATCACACAATAAATAAAATAAGTTTTACTTGTACAAGGCATCTGCTGCCAAACTAAGGTGGTTATCACCCTGTCATCTGGCAAGACAGCGCAACTTCCCCAATTAGACCTAATAAAGATAATATTATTACATACAGTTAAAATTATTATATCTACATTTTTATGTGTGTGTGTGTGTGCGTATCTGGAATATTGTTTGTATAAATAAATAAAGATTGTATGATGGGTGTATGAGTATGAGATTGTGTTTGATGTATTCTATTATGAAACTGTAGTAAGTAGCTGCTCTTTTTTATTGTAGTCAAGAGAAAGAGGAAAGTTAGTGACTTCTCTTTTGCATTCGTATTTTTTCATGTGGGCAGTGGTAATATACCTGCTTATCTTATTATAAACAAAGTTTCCAAGGAAAATGTAAGAACGTTTAACGAAACTTGTTGGGCAACCTCGTTTATGGCTGCAAACAATATCCTTATGACGTCTCTGAGAGTTTGATTGGTCAATGTCAATTTCTACGTGCTTTTTCAAAACAGTAAATAATAAAAACAACCCTCTGACGCTAAGTACTTCGCAAAACTTCAACAGAAAGCTGGTGGGATACAGATATGGTTTAAAAGTACAAACCTCCAAAAATTCCAAACATTTCAAATTTGTTTTTGGCATCCCTCCCCAGATAGTTATACCGAAGGTTAGTATAGATTGACATAATGCCATGTAATAATGGATTAAATTATGATCTGGAAAGTTTTCTTAATAAATCATTATTATTATTTAAATAAATAATTATTTATGACTCAAATAGTCATTATAGGCAAGTACAGAGTTCTAGCTGTGGCGCTGCCAGACTGAGTACGCAAATGACCTCTAACGAAATCCACCTGGTTATATTACGGTGGTTACGTAACTAGAGTCCTTCCACATGATCCACGATTTGCTATATCAGAATGACTCACAAGTTTTTGAATGAAACCTTAATAAGAATGTGTCCCTGTCACTGCAGTTGCTGGGTAACACTGGTATCCGAGGTCACGGGTGCCCTGTGTCACGTAGACCTTGGCAGTGACTATTTTTAGTCTAACAAATACTGTATTTAGAAATTATAGCGATGAAGTTTATAAATAATCTTTAATTTTATAAATTATTAAGAACGATAAATTCTGAGTCTTTACTTACAAAAATCTAACCTGTTATTTTAAAGTATATTAATTTATTTATCATGAAATTCTAACATAATTTGTAAGGAAAAAATAATGATTTTGACAAAATTTGTAGACACCTATATATTTTAGTGCAATAGCAGGTATAGCTACAAATAGGTAGATATAACCTTTTATTTCATGTAATTGCAGCCATCATTAATCATTGTACAATATTAATTGCAACAAAGCAAAAATATTATAATCCTCGAATTACAATAACAATTATTTCAATTCACTTTCCGACAAGATAATTCTAAATTATTACTGAGATATATGATGTAGGCGGGCGTGATCCTGTAGGGTTCCAAATAATATTTTGCAACCCTTTGTTATAATTTATATGCAGCTTCTCAAAAAGGGGTGATTTGGCACCTGCTGAATGTATTGAGACTTTTTTTTATATATTCCGTACGACACGAGATCATGATCTTAATAATCAAATAATAGTCTATAATAATCTTTTTACGTTGTTCTAGGTTTTGTGTATATGATAGTTCTACTGTACAGCGAAATTACAAAATATGTGCCAAGTCCTATAATGCACAAATGTTAATATTAAAAGCCAGATACTTTTATGGTATTGTTCTAATCTCAACAGATACAGAAATAATTTACGTATTTTTTTTTTCTAAAAGTTTGTAAATTAATGGCAGACAAACACAGCAGTCTTCTCACAAGGGTTTACTTTTAGCATGAATATTAATCACGTTGAAGTGTGAAATGAAATTTTAATAATTTCTCCATCGTAATCATGTAGGCAGACCGCGACACGCGCCAGCGTCTATTGTGTAATCAACATGAGTGCTGAAGGGTACATGAATATTTGATATTATAAATAATTGTGCCGTTATATGGTTCTAAATATATTTAACTAATGAAATTTTACACAAGTTGGTATTTTTTTTTTTATTTTGTGGATGACTATTGACTAAAATTTTGTGGGCCCGACGTAGGTATGCTTTGTCTTAATTTGTGGTTGATTTTTGAAAGTGGTTTAAAAAACCGGCCAACTACGAGACAAACTCACCACGTAAAAAAAAATCACGTTTGGTGTTTTCTATTGAGTTATTCCAAATTTAGAACAGACAGACATGGCGAAACTATAAGGGTACGTCGTTTTTCTTAAATTTTCACTGATGATTATATTACTATTGCCGCAATAACAATAAATACTAAAACTGAATAAAATAAATATAATACAACAAACGTGCAAATGAGTTTTTTATAGATAACGGTACAGAACTCTCCGTCATTGAGGCAGACTCGCACTTGGAAGGATTTTTAATAAAATAATGTATTAATAAATTAATCACCTATTAATTTAACAATAAACAAGGAAAATTAAAAAGAAAGAAAACTATCTATAATAATCATAGTAATGACCTTTTGTTCATCGGTGTCTAATATTTAGTTACTTTTGTTTGTTTTATTATTTATAACTGAAAAATATATGCTGAAGACTAGCGTATCTAGTTTATTTTTTATATTAATTTCAGTTCAATAGAGAATCCACGCCCAAGCGGTTAGGTAATTGGCAGGTACCACGTTGGGCGCCAACAAGAGCTCGCCCTGTGGAAATGCGTCCGGATCCTAAACCCATATGTGATGACAACGGACATTTTCTCCCAGGCGCACCTAGGGGCACGTCGCGGTGCTTCGGCCACTTTACTGGCACTTGGGAACTACCTAGAAAGATCACCAGGAAAGTTGGTGAGTTACGTTGTCAATACATTTTCTGCATCATACTCAGTGTGAGTAGTGGCTGTAATATTTATTTTATCAATGTTATCATTGTAGAATGATAAGGAAATTTGCTCATTTGACGCTGTACATCGTATGCTTCCGTGAGTTTTCCGGTCCCTAGCTAATTGTTCCCAAAGTTAGTTTCATTTGGAATCATAAATATTATATTAATTTTAAATTACTTAAATAAACGAAAACTTATGAAGTCTATTGTTTTTAAAATTAAATATTTATGCGGAGCCGTCTGCGCCCGAGTCCAACTCACTCTTGATAACTTTCTATTAAATGAACGCACTTTCTCCATATCGATTTTTATAACAGTGATACTGTTGTCTCAAAGATTTATAACAGAAATTGGCAATGTTGACATAACCTTGGCATAATAATAAAAACCATCATTTATTTGTCAAGATACACGCACAAACACTTCCCTTCGCTCGCCTTTTTCGTGCCACGAGGCAATTTGTCGGACTCAAGGAAAATTTTACGTTTCGCATAAATATATTTGCAATTATTGAGAAAAGATTGATGGATCTTTAATCATTTTGAAACTTCGCAAATATAAGCAAATGATTATTATAAACATATGAAACGTTATTTTCTACATATCCTTAAATATAAAACATATATTAGCAAGCCTTTTGCTTGCTAATATCTCACTAGAAATTTTACCATAAGGCATAACTCCAGTTTTCATTCATAATTTTAACGAGCGGACATCTAACATAACTTGATTCAGTACTTATATTTTTGATGTATCAACAGCTGAGGAGTTAGCAAAAGAGCCCCCTGATCACAGATTCCCAGATTGGTTGAATCTCCGCGTGCAGAGACCCAAGGCTGCGGCGGCCGCGCGCACGCGTACTACAAAACGCGGTAAAGCCAAGAAGGATGACTCCGCGGCCTTACAGGACGAGCAGACGTTCAGAGTAAGCGAAGCTTTGTGCTCGTAAAACTGTGTGCAGTTTTCCTTTGCCTTTATCAGAAAAGAAAAAGGTCACATGCTATTGGCCAATACACCACCACGTTTATGTGTGTGTTCTATAATTTTTGGCGGGAAATCGTAACTGTCAATCGTAAATTGAGGTTAGTGCTTTGTTAACAGAATAGAAAATGTGATTTAGCGACTCGTAAATTACCTACTTTTTATTATATTACAGTTTAAGAGTAACTAGTGTCATATTGTTGTAAGCGGTTCTGTCTTTACAATTTATAATGACATCATTATTGAACAAGTTGTGAGATTAATTTACGACAGAATGGACGGTGATTTAAGATAAGATTTTGTAGACGAGATTTTTTTGGTATAAGTGTGGTCAACTCCCCCCCGTCAATTGCAATGTAAATTGATTCGGTGATGCAGTAGTTCATAGTATTACTATTTAGTGGAATAGAATTGCTATGTAATGTGCATCTGCCTGTGGAGACAATAATAATTTAAAGGACGTACTTTTGTTAGAGTACTAATAATTTATACCAATCATTGGTGACCAATTCAAATTTGTCTTATTTATAAACCTATTTCAAGATAACTTTATTTAAACTTAACATAAGCAGAAGAAATTGCTACTAATCTGTTCAATCATTATATGATTTTAATGTAAAGTGGTGATTCTTAAAGTTTTTGGTTGACGACCCTAAATATAAAATAGCCTGAAGACCTGCGACCACAGCCAATTTATCTACGTATATGTGAAATAAATCATAAGGACAAACTAAAAGTCCGTGGTTTGCTCAAACCATTATTTGTAAATTCCAACACCTCGTTACTACGATTTTGAAGCTGTTGTGGAACTCAATTCTTTTATTGTAAGAAAAATATATAAATATGTGTTTCACTTTGTAGCTAAGAGCTTTTGTAGATATTACGAAATTTACAACAACTATAATGGTTTGCGAGCGTTGCAAAATTTTGTAATTAATTTGTCGTACATATGTTCAAGTTCGCTTTAATTAGACTAAACACATATAAATCAACTTTACTTAATGGACTACTAGTAGTCTGGCGCCCAACGTGGGACCCGAAACTACGAATCCGAGATTGTCCTATGTTCTATTTTACGCACTATGCTTCTATCTTCTATCTGACTCAGCAACCTGATATTTATATGACCAGCAACCCGTTGATTTCATGTTGTTTTCTTGTTGTCTTCATGTGCAGCCGGGATTAGTGTTTTGTAAAGGTGTAACACAGGTGCAAGACAGAGTTGTTAAACGTGTTATATTATTACCCGCTTTCTTTAACATCTTCCATATTCTCGTAACATATAACCAAATTATGTCTAACCCGAATGCCATGTCTTTGATAAACTTTACCGTACGTCAGTAAATAATATAATGTCGATTATTTTTACATTCATAAATTTATTTATTTTTTCTATCAAACTACCAATTATAGGTTTTTCTTAAGTACCTAAACATAATGAAGTCTTCGGATGCAGTAGTATAAATATTTTTTTTAATCCACTAACACATAAAATGTAGAAAATTTACACTGCAAAAATTAGGAAGTTATTGTTATATAATTTTGGTATATAAAGCTGTGGTGTCGAAGTGGATTAGTGATCATAGCGTCTTGGGACGCATGATAGAAGAAACCTGCAGTGCCTTCATCATCAGCCTATTAATATCCCCACTGCCAGGGTCATGTCTCCCTATGGGTGGAAGTGAACAGTGTGGATTAATGGGTGTTAACAACTGTAGATGTAGCCGCGACCAAAAGCTTATTAATGTGTTTTCTTAAGAGTCCCTTGCGAGAGTTAACCACTAAATCATCGAATTCATCGAAATCGCTTTATATGATTTTCCCATTCTTTAAATATTCATAAACTGATATGCATTTTATGACACTGACCTAATAAATGTAGGTTATATATGTTATTCTTCCTTATTCCTCATTGTGTTCTTTTTATTTCAGCCCAACCAATGCCCTTACCACAAAAAGCACAAGCACAAAAGATGAAGACTGAAAATAGTATCAAAATAGCACCGTAGATTAGAAGACACAAAATTATTTGTAAAAATGTTATTAAATATGTACTTACTAATTAAATTTTAAATATTTTCATGTCTGAACGCAAAGGACTTAGATTTAAATAAAATAGAAACTCAAGATATACGTAAGAAAGATGATGAGGGCCAAAGTGAATTAAATATTGAAAAGGAGGATAATCCTTTAACATTAGAGCCTAAGAAACAACCAGTAGATGAAAACGGCTATGGTCCTTACGTACCCGGTACATTAACAGAGCCAGATAAAAGGCACGATAGCCACGATTTACTCGTAAAAGAAGCAGTAGAGCAAATACACGGTCCACAAGAAAATGAAGTTGACAAATTTTGGAGGAAAGTAGCAGAAAACGCGACACAACATGATAGCGACCAAGATAACATGAAATATAAGAAAAGTGCTACTCCAAAACTTCCATATGTGAATGTATCGCAGAACTTTCAGTTTGCTAAAAAAATGCACGTAGGAAATTTAGAACATCAGCCGTTGCCAGACACATTGGGATACAGAAATTTGACTAAAATAGCGGAGCATAGAGATTCCGATATCATCGTTAAACCGTATGCTATTGGATGGAAAGGCTACGGTGCTTCAGGACCTACGTGTTGCACTAAAATGCGCGTACATAGACCGAAAACTTGCGATACTAAAAAAGTTGAAAACGAAAAGTGCGATCATAAAAGACCTTCGACATCTGGGCCTAATTTAGGCGATCAGTTAAAAAAACCGTTGTCGTTAATGGATCTAGCGATTTGCTGGGATTTCAGGCCGGACGATCCTAAACAGGAACCCAAGCCTCCGAAGCATATAGACGGATCAAACGGCTCTAAAGCGCCAGCTGTATTCACTATGGTACACACTCCAAAAGAAGAAACTGTAGAAGATACAACTAGACACGCAAATCCAATATTCAGTCAAAATAGAGTAGGAGAAGACATGGGCCGACATCCTGTACCATATTTTGAAAAAGATATGACTAAAGACAAACGGAGAAATTCTTGTGACGTACAGTATTGTCCGCAACATAACAATCCTAGTGAAAAAGGCTCCAAGTCGTCAAGCAGGAAGAGTTCAGCACACTCTATAAAGAAAACTGAATGTGATGGTGTACATGGTTGTGGCACGCCAAGTGAGACAAGTAGGAAATCTAGTCGTGACAGACCGGATAAATTGGAGCCTATCAAAGATGCATGGAATACAAAGAGTAATAAAAACAACGATAAATACGATATCAACAGAAATCGAAATAGCTTGGAATCTTATGAGAAGACACCGCTGGCACAAGGAAAGTTAAATCAGAGCTCTCCAAGTGAATCACGATCAGGAAGGTCCCCAAAGCAGAGTATTTCTTCAGGTAATAGACATAAGACTTGCTTGCCTTGCAACGAGAAGATACCACAAGAGGCGAAGTCGAAGGAAGATTATAAATTCGCTTTTAAAGCAGGTAACCCTAACTCCGTGCATAGCGTAACAAATTCCACTGATTCGAAAGGGGTGAAAATTCCAAAAATGCGACATCCCTATACGAAGAAGTCTTACACGATACCTACACTAGCTCCACCTTTCAGTATTTGGAGGGATGCCAACGCAAGTGGATATCCTGAACATTGGAGATTAGCGAGTGTATATCAACACGCCTACAAACCTCCCGAACAGAGACGAAAACCCCTCATAGAAAGCGTCTATCAATAAATACTTGTACACTGAATATTAATTGTTTCAAATCATAGAATTGTAATTTCTGCTTAGTCTTTATATAATAAATCAAACACATGTATTCCTTGTATAGTTTTATTGATCACCGATTGCAGCTTTATAATTCCAATAAAATACTTTCTTCGTATTACGTCTTAATCAATGCGATAAGGCGCTGGTATTAGACACCTGCGTTTTTATCATCGCCCATTGATAACACCTAGTAGGATTGTCGAACGTGTTCAAGGTAAGAATCTCTCATACTCCATGAAGAAAGTGCACTTTCTAATGGTTTCCCATGCTTTGGAGGAGTATTGGAACCATCCTTTCTCTGATAAGTTGGGCACATTCGTGATCTGATGCCTGTTGACGCCAAAGATCATCCATCGGAGACGTTTTGCTAGTTGCTCGAAAGGTGGATGGCCACGGTATATTTCTCGGTTGTCTGTAATATAAAGATTTTTTTACAATACATTCTTTAATCTTAAGAGCTTTCTTCATGGTGATCGCGTATCTATCACAGACGAAGGATGCGAACATGCTACAATATAAAGAATTTTCTTTACACCTTGCAAATGAAAAATAATTGACATTAGAATTCTTACGATTCATATATAAGATTCACCATTTTTATTTATTTCGCCTCATTTGGCGCGTTCCATCCTTACATGGTGAAATCTATATGTAGATAAATGTATGGATTTTTCCATTTGAATAAATAATAGAGTGAAAACTATGTAAACCCCTAAAATCCAAGTATTTCTACTAGTACAAACCGTAAGTTGACTGTAGTAATGTTAAACTGCATTTTTAGAAAGAAAAGTATTAAGTAATGCTTATAATATATTATTTATTACTATATTTTCAACTTAGGGTGTTTTTACTCCACTCCTCTACTATAATGCCTATTATCAAAGCCATTTCTTGTTTAATTGAAGCAATTAAAACACGTATCTAATATTTTTCTATTACCGTACTAACGGATAAATAGAAATCTCATATACATCCACTAATGTTTATTTTTATTAATAACAACTGCCATATACAGTCCTGCGATTCTATTCAAAATCCAAACCAGAAGAATTCACTTCAAAAAGCGGCATCCGCACAATCTTGAATTGGTAGTAACGTTTCGTGGCATAAGTGAAGTGAGTTTCGAAATGATATAGGAATAGAATAACTGATACAGGTATAATCGATCAATTATGTTTTGTATTTTTATACAAAAATATTGAATATTGTCCTGCTTGTGATTTGTGTTTTTTAATATAGTCTATGTCACTGACAATAAAGTTTATATTGAAAGAAATAATGGTAGAATATAATTCGATAATCGTACATTAATTTTGAGTTCCTTAAATTAAGTCAAATGAAAACCAAAAATTTATAATATTAGAGTAAGTCTAAATATATATAACTCAAAGGTGACTGACTGACATAGTGATCTATCAATGCACAGCTCAGACCACTGTACGGATCGGGCTGAAATTTGGCATGCAGGTAGATGTTATGACGTAGGCATCCGCTAAGAAAGGATTTCGATCAATTCTACCCCCAAGGGTATAAAATAGGGGATGAAAGTTTGTATGAAACTTTGTCTTTTGTCAAAAACCGATCGGGCTGAGACTGCATGCATAAAGCTACTATGACGTAGACATCCCCTAAGGATTTTGATAAGAAAGGGTGGAACCCTTAAGAGCATAAAATAGGGGATGAAACTTTATATCAGGTTTTTTACACGATATTTTGAATAAATATTCGTTAGAAATGCTACTCAGAGTAACTTTACTACGCGGACGAAGTCGCGGGAATAAGCTAGTTTTTATATAAGTTTAAAGATGAGACATACCATAGTCGGAGTAGACTTCAGGTAGCAGGAACAAGTTGATCGGTGGTCCACAGTTATCAACATTATGCCCCTTGCACACGCTGTCCATATTCAGACCATTCTTGTTTGAATCACTGTACATATACATGCCGGATTTCAACTGCAGATTCGACCTTTGGAATACTTTCCTGCAAATAATTTAAATTAATTAAATAATATTTAATTTCTAATACTGTTCAGTGAGTAAGTAAATATTAAAAGATTTTCTTTTTAATAGTTTCATTGTCAAAATGATCTCGAAACATTATATACAGTAAATTTTTAAGTACATCTAAAATTATATATATGGGTACATTTTAAAAAGTTCATAGCCTGAAATCTCATCTGAGAACGGATAAATATTGGTAAACTCTTGGTAAATTTAAACTGCAAGTCGCATGCGTATGTGACATTAAATCTTTTCATGATTTACGAAACAAGAGAGAAGGTAACGTTTTCATTTTTGTTTTACTTTTACTGCACATATTTGTTAAGTGTAAGGTAAGGAAAAGGTTATAACTTTTTAAATGTACTTAAAAATTAACGTTGTATAAATAAACAGTCACATATTTTTAATGATATATTTTATTTATTTATGAAAATTTCTACAATATTTATTTATGTTTTGCACTAATAATATAAAGATTTTTGTGAAATATTTACTATAAAAAACATAATTCATTCCAACCCACCGAAAGTAAAATATCTCAATACATAGGCTACTTATTACCAACGTGAAAATAAAATGCAATCTATGCTAATATAGAGGAAACGTTTGTTTGTTTGCATAGAACAGGCCCTGAAACTACTAGATCAAGTTTAAAAATTCTCTCATTTACGGGAAGCTACATCACACGCGGGTGACATAGCCTATATTTTAATACCAAGTATTTTATTATTACCTATATAAATCTTGCATAGTCTTCAATGCCTCAGGAGTGAAATCTTCAAGTTGACACCTAAAGAATTTAGCAACATATTATGAAGAGACAAATTATGTACAATATTTTTTACATTCAGTGGCGGACTAAGGGGGGAAGGGGTGTGTTGCGGGCGGAGGGGGCTGCTCCAGTTCTGAGGGGCCTCCATATGGCTGCAAAGTCCCTTGATCACATTGCTACTGTCAACATCAACTAATCAGAGAGCAGTGTATTTGTGGGGAACCCACTATATGTACATACAACATTTCATATTTATTTATACATAAACATAGACATTTCACATTCACGTAAAGATTCATCATCATAGATTATTGAAACACTGGAAATTATAAAAAGGGTAAGAAAAATAGAATATACATATATTGATATATATTCTCTGAGGCAATAATTTTCTGAATTTGCTTCAATATTATATTTTTAAGTTTGGAAAACTAAAAAATGTCTATAAACAAATTTTATTGAATTGAGTTTGTAAGACAGTGATAATATTAAAATCGTTTATAGTTTATAAAATTTTCAAAATTGATAATTGAATAAAAAATAGCCGGGATAGGGAAGGAGGGACGGAAGGGGGGATGTAGGAGGATCATCTGGCTGTATGAAAGGTTTATGCAGACGATGTATCCGAGCGAACGATGGAAAGAAGGAGAAGGGAGGTGTGCGAGCGAGAGAAAAAAGGAAGAGAGATTGGTTGTGAGTCGAATGGGATGTGTGTGCGCTCCGTGCAATTTTTTGTATTCTTTTTTTAACTTATATTTTGGATTCAGTAAACGATTTAAAAACGGTCCCATCGTTTAATTCTCGATCCCACAAATTTTGGGGGCTCGTCCGGGATCCCGAGAACAACGAAGGGACATAGGACAAATGGGACGACAGCACGTGGTGTGACACGCCGGCAGGAAATTTTACTTCAGAATAGCATCCAAGCCGTTATTTTGCGACGCAAGCTTCATTATCTTCAAGCATACGATGACGAAAGACGCAAGACGAACCAGCAAACATCAAACACTCGACGATTACGATTACGACGAACGACGACGAACACGTGGTGGCATGTTGGGTCTTACAGAAGATATAATAATGAACTTCAGCGGTCAAGAAAAACGTAGCGTTACGACCGTCAGCAAAAACACGTATCCGGTCTCAAAATGGATCCAGGATATCGAGGATAATGCAGAGATTTCCGATTGGAGTAAAACGCAAAAATTACGTGTGGCGCGGAGATCCCTTTGCGACACGGCGGCTCTGTGGTTACGTTCGGAGAGAAACTACAAGACATGGGACGACCTAAAAGTAGCAGTAAGCAAAGAATTTCCTGATACGGTGAACATCAAAACCATTCACGAACTCATGAGCCGAAGGAAGAAAACGCAAAACGAGCCATGCATAGATTATATGTTGGTTATGAAGGAACTTGGAAAAAGAGGTAAAATGCCGGATTATGTAGCAATCAAGTACATAGTCGACGGCATCAGAGATAAAGAAATCAATAAAGTTATGCTGTATGGTGTGAGTACCTACAGTGACTTAAAAGAGAAGCTCAAGGTGTACGAAACCGTCAAGCAAAAAATGAGCATAAGCGAAGCCCGACACGCGTACGAACATCGAAGCTATAATAAGCCGAATCCCGTACATCAGCAACGCGAGCAATTCGCCACGGCAGGCACAAGCTATGGAAAGAAAATTCGATGTTACAATTGCGGCGAAATAAATCATACATCCGAAGATTGCCCGAATCGCAAACATGGCCGAAAATGCTTCCATTGTAACGAGTTCGGCCATATTTCCATTCAATGTCCGGCGAAAACACGAAATCGAACGATGATTGCGGAGGGGAAGCCGAGGCAAAGTTTCGCCACGACGACGTCAGAGGGCGCGACGGTAGCGACGTGCCAGATCGGAGCACTACTTATAGCAACTCAAGCTGGCGGCGGAAAAACACCATCATGACGCAGTTGATATTTGCAAAACAGAAGTTGCTGATAACGTAAACAAACCAAATGTAGATAGAAAACCGGTGAAGTTAGTGAAAATTCGGAACGAAACTTCGATTTATGCGTTCATTGATTCAGGCAGTGATGTAAAAATAACATTCGAGTGTTATACCGCGATAGGTGCGCCGGAGTGTAATTTTAACAATAAACTCAATTCATTTGGACTCGGGTCGTCACAAGTGAGTACGTGTGGGCAATTTATGACAACTATGGCGATTGATGGACAAAATTACAACAGTGTCTCTTTTTATGTAGTACCTAATGATTGTATTCCATATAAAATAATAATAGGGCACGATTTCTTAAAAAATGTTACAATGGTTATGAAAGATGGAACGGTATGGATGAAGCAGAACGATTGGATGAGTGATGTGTGTAGTATTTTTATGTGTGTTTCTGATGTGGCAGACGAGGGCATCAGACGAGAAGTGGTTAAGATGGTTGAGGGTTACCATCCTTGCCAAACAAAAGAAGCGCCAATTCAACTGAAAATTACAATGAAAGATGATACTCCTATTGCTCAACGTCCACGACGGATTTCTTATAAGGAACAAGAAGAGGTGGATAATCAGATACAACAATGGTTGGAAGAGAGGATCATACGGGTAAGCTATTCGGAGTACGCCAGTCCATTAGTGCTTGTCCGAAAATAAAGATGGTTCTTTACGAATATGTGTTGATTACAGACAGATAAATAAGAGAATGACGAGGGATGAGTATCCTTTACCTATAATAGATGACCACATTGACAGGTTAGCCAATGCTAGGATATTCTCAATGCTAGATCTGAAAAATGGTTTTTTTCATCTGTTAATAAATGTAGAGTCCATAAAGTATACTTCCTTTGTTACTATGAAGGGACAATATGAATTTTTAAGGGCACCTTTTGGTCTAGCGACATGTCCAAAGGTTTTCACACGATTTGTCTCAATTATTTTTACTTGATAACAAAAGGTTATGTCTTGATAAGAAAAGGTTATGTCTTAATATTTATCGATGACTTGCTGATTACAGCCCAGAACGAGCAAGAAGCATTAGAACGACTACGAGAAGTTTTACATATTGCATCACAGTATGGACTACAGATTAATTGGAATAAATCTCAGCTATTGGTGAGAAGAGTGGAGTATTTAGGACATGTTATACAGGAGGGTGTAGTGATGCCTTCGCCAGGGAAGACAGATGCTGTCATGAAATTCCCTGAGCCCAGAAATATGAAGCAGCTTCACAGTTTTCTCGGTTTATGTTCATACTTCAGGAAGTTTATAGAAAATTATGCTATGATTGCATCCCCGCTCACTGATATGTTGAGAAAAGATGAGAATTTTCAATTTAATAAAGAGCATAAAATATTAAAAGAGTAATTGGCCACTAAGCCAGTGTTAAAGATTTATGAGTAGCATGCTGAAACAGAGCTACACACCAATGCTTCCAGTGTGGCATATGCTGCTATACTGATACAAAAATACTGCAATGGAGAACTACATCCAGTACATTACATGAGTCGACGAACAACTGAGGCTGAAAGCAAATACTCAAGTTACGAGCTGGAAGTATTAGTAGTAATACAAGGAATAAAGAAATTTAGGCACTATATTTTTGGAAAACACTTTAAGATAGTGACCGACTGTAAAGCATTCCAGATGACTATAGACAAGAAAGATATGGCATTATCAACAAAAGTAGCACGATGGATTTGGTTTTTACAGGATTATGAATACACTATAGAACACAGATCTGGTACAAAAATGAGACATGCAGAAGCGTTAAGTCGAAACCCATATGTAGTAGTGATATCTACTGACATTCATCAGCAACTACGGCGAGCTCAAGAAGCAGATGATGGTCTCAGAGCAATCATGGACATACTTCGAACATAGAAACCATACAAAGATTTCTATATACAGAATGGTTTGCTATGTAAAGGGATAGAGCGGCGATAAGTTGTACCAAAACAAATGGAAATGAGAATTATCGGAAAAGCACATGAAATCGGTAATTTTTCTAAAAAGAAGACAATGGAATTAATTTCTAAAGATTACTTTATAGACAAGTTGGAAAAGAAGATAGAAGATTGTATCGCTACATGTATCCCATGTATATTGGCATCGAGGAAAGAAGGAAAGCAAGAAGGCTTTTAGAATCCAATAGAGAAAGACGAAGTACCTTTCCACACATTACACATAGATCACATTGGACCAATGACAGAAACAAGTAAGCAATATAACCATTTTTTAACTTTAATCGATGGATTCACAAAATTTGTCTGGTTGTTTCCTACAAAGTCCACATCGACACAGGAGGTACTTAGTAAGCTGGAAATTCATCAGCAGACGTTTGGAAATCCAAGAAGGATAATCTCTGATCGTGGAACAGCATTTACAAGTAAAGATTTTGCTCAATATTGTGAAAATGAAGGGATACAGCATATAAAGATCACAACGGGGTTACCAAGAGGAAATGGGCAAGTGGAACGGGTTCACAGAACCATCATTTCAGTTCTAACCAAGTCATGTATAGAAAAACCCACACAATGGTACAGAAATGTTGGTAAGGTACAAAAAGCATTTAAATAGCACCTACCATAGAAGTATTAATACCTCTCCATTTGAACTACTCATGGGAACAAAAATGATGAGTAAAGAAGATTGCAAGCTTTATGAGTTATTGTTACAAGAAGAACAAAATAGCTTTGTACATTACAGAGACGAACTAAGAAAGAAAGCTAAATTACAAATACAAGAAATTCAAGATGAAAATACACGAAACTATAATAAGAAAAGGAAGGAAAGTAGGCAGTATTCAGAAGGAGATTTAGTTGCTATAAAACGCACTCAGTTTGGAAGTGGTATGAAAATCAAGCCAAAGTTCTTGGGACCTTATGCAGTTACCAAGGTTAAGAGAAACAACAGATTTGACGTGGAGAAGGTAGACTCAATGGCAGAAGGACCTAATAAAACCTCAAGCTCTTCTGACCACATGAAGCCCTGGCCGACCTAGTATGTGTGAGATCATCGTAGAGAGCTGGTAAGTATTTATGTTTATGTCTTAGGTGTATGAATGATGATGTATGGAAGTGTTATTATTAGAAGCCCTATACTGTTACTGCTCCTGATTAAAATATATTGTTCTTATTACATAATTAAGACTAAGTTGTATGTAAAACGTTGTATTTATCTATATAAGTTGTTGTTTTGAAGTTGTTATATAAAAATATGTAACATGAAACGTGTAATATTTATGATTTATGATTTATGATGTAATGTTGTTGTTGTTAATTACATGTGTAGTTGTTCACGATGCCTTTTTGAACGAATATGTCTGGGGGCAGACAATAATGCAGGATGGCCGATTGTGGGATGGATGGTGTGTATCCGAACGTATGAAAGGTTTATGCAGACGATGTATCCGAGCGAACGATGGAAAGAAGGAGAAGGGAGGTGTGCGAGCGAGAGAAAAAAAAGGAAGAGAGATTGGTTGTGAGTCGAATGGGATGTGTGTGCGCTCCGTGCAATTTTTTGTATTCCTTTTTTAACTTATATTTTGGATTCAGTAAACGATTTAAAAACGGTCCCATCGTTTAATTCTCGGCGTGTTTGGTAATACCTGTATAATCCCGAATATGGCACATACGGTATGATGAATAGAACCCAGAAAAATGATCACTAAGACTGAAACCCAGCACATGACCTAGATATTCAGCTTTTTTTCTTCGAAGTAAAACTGTACGCTGACAACCCTAAAAACAGCTGTTGTGTTGTATTTGGTCATCGACTCCATGTGCCGAACTAGTTTAAAAAATAACAGAAGTTAAATAAATCTAAAGATAAATGCCTAGAATAAATATGCATCTGAGAGGAATTTATTATTTCCAAACAAAGAAAAAGTTAGTAGTAAATGACTTTTAACTATAAAAAAACACTAATCTTGTGATTAACGGTGTTTCAAAAACTATTAATATGAAAACTTCTGTAATAATACAGTCAAAATAAAAAAGAAATTGCAAATACTTTGATTGAAGTTCAATATCTGCACCATTGCTCACATTAGTCTATGCAAGAAGGAGCGACAGAGACATAAAATCGACGACGATGTGTATTGAGAAACTCGGGTTTCTGATGTGTCAGTAAGGTTCTGTAGATTAATAGCTTTGAAGTTTTGTTATTTTTTTCATAAAGCCGTGTTATTTTCACGAAACAATAAAATACGGACTTATACAATGATATTAATAATCTAAGTATCTCGCTTATTCTTAGTTTAAATGATAATTAAATAAAGGTTAGTTGTAATGGAAAGGTCTAATAATAAATAATATTTCTTTTCTTTTCTAATTTAATCAATAATTTTTTTATGCCTTATAATTTTGTTAATGACTTGGTCTTAAATTAGGTAACCACTTTTAATATTATGGCCTTTTTTTCTTTTGTAACCGTGAAAAGCGTAAATAAAATTGTAATAATAAGTAAACAGCCTAATTATCAATTTCGTCAGTAAAAAATAGTATGATAAGTTACTTTGAAATTTCATTGTTTAATTCAATAAAAAAATAACGATTTTTTGTTAGGTAGGTTACGTAACACAGAATTTGATGACGCGGAACCCCAAAATCGGTGCACTTTTGATTTAGGTACATTGGTGTTCGAGTTGCAATAATAATAACCTATGTAGTTTTGGTCATCGCGTCAGTCGCGTCCGTGACTTTCATCGGCGTACTTGTGAGTTTTCAGAATTTAGAAGGTCAACTTACGTTTTCGTTCTTTCGGGACTTTTGGTTTGTTTTTCATTCTCGTTCTGTTTACCTGTGTATTATGTTTGTGTGCGGTCAGTGCAATGAATTCGTACTCAAATGCCTAATATTACGAGATGATAATGTGTGGCGGTGCTTGTGACGGTAATCTTGCTGCGGCTCGGCGGCGTTATGACGAGCGCCACGTGTCAGGAAGATCTGAAAACCATCGACGTCTTCCTTCTTACCGGTGATTCGCGGCATTTGTGAATTGGTTACATACAACTGGTTCATTCCATAGTGTGCCACAGGTAGGCCGGCCGATCACCTATTCCATCGAGACAGAGGATATGACTTTACGTCGAGAGTAACACGACACGGTCTGTGTCGAGTCGAATGGAGATGTGTGTTTTATGCGGTGGCCGGCATATCGAGACCCTGGACTGATAAAGTGGAGGTGAAGTGTAGGTAATGTTGACAAGTGAAAGCTGAAAGAGTGATTAGAACGCTGTAGGTATGTACCTATTTAATCTTAAATTGTTTTAATTACAAGTAAACTCATACGTAGTCGAGTGCGCGCGTCGGCAACATCAAAATGTATTCAAGGAAACGAGAGAGTGAGAGGTAATGAGAGAGAGAGAGAGAAAGAGCGAGTGCGCCGGGACGGCACGTATAAGCTTACAGGGTTGTAGCATAGTAATTGAAAACAAATTGTTCAAATATTTGTATGAAAATATCAATTTACATGAAATTGTTTTTTGACCTATCAATTGTGTTCTTTGTGCTAGGTTGTATGGCCATGTTTCGGGATTATACAGGTATTACCAAACACGAATTATTTTCAAGAAGAAATGGAACTAACGTTGAAAAATATTTACGTAGATTCTGTTCAGAATAAATAATTATCTTAATGAAATATATTTAACTTTCATGAATCAGCTGCATATTCCCCCCCCCCCCCTATTAGGGAACAGGTGACAGTATACCTGTTGTGCAGCAGCAGCAGGTGCGGGTGCGCGTCGCCGGCAGGTGCGGCGTCGGCCCCGCCCCCCGCGCCCGCTCCCGCCCCCGCCCCCGACGTCCACAGCGACGGCCGCAACATCTCTGCAGCCTGAATATATCTACCGATACCATTGAAACATTTCTCATTCGTCCTGACATTCCAGAACTACGTGCGAATTTTATGTAGTATTTGAGACACCGAATGTATCACTCAGACCAGAGATGACATACAAATATATATTTTTTATTAGATTTATTGGAAACGAAGCCGGAATACGTTGATCGTCTAAGCCGGTAGTTCCTAACCTAGGGTTAATTAAAGAAGAAGAGTATTTTTAGAAGTTAAAATTTTATTAATATATAGACTATTTCATATACAAAAATTTGATAATCAATAATCATCACTGATATTTTTGAAACTGACGTCATAATTACCTTAAAAAATTGTAGTCCGTGAACCAATCTTGTATTGCCACAAGCACATGACACACGGACATCAGAAAGGAAGCCACTTGCAGGCAATCCACTGTCACTACATTCGCACTCCTGGCTGTCACTGGACTAGCACTGAACTCCTCGATCAGGGCCGGAGAGAACAGAGCTTGGCAGTCTAGTACTATCACTCGGTCACTCGTAACATACATATCTACACCTGAAATGTGATCAAATGAATACCAAGAAAATCTTAAAAAATTATTCATCACCAGTTTTAAATAACATCATCGTCAGTCCGTACAACGCTCAGAACATAGGCTTCCCCCAGACATGCAACCGAGCTATAAGTAGTTTTGTTTCCTTTAAATACCTTTTGTACAATGAACTCCTTTCTCGATTTGCGAAATATCTTGCATTTTAAATTTGAAATCAATATCTGACTTGTCATTGATTTTTGCAGATGTTTCGATAAAGTCCATCGCTTCCATTTGATTCTCCAAAGATTTGACATCGTTTTGATCATATGTAGTTTCCGAGGTCAGTTCATGGGAATGTAAAATATAACTACAAAGATTCTGTGTATGTTTATTTAGGGCTATCAAATTGGAAACCATCGATTTTCCAACACCTTGTGTTCCTGTAAGTTTTTATAGAAAAATAAAGATATTTTCATTTCATTTCATTTCATTTCATTTCATTTTCATTTCATTTCATTTTCATTTCATTTCATTTCAAATCCAATTTGAGTTTTATTGTTTGAAGACTTTATTTAATTAAGTGCTTGAACAACTATCACAATATAATAACAGTCAACAGCATGCCAAAATATATAAATCTGTGAAATTTCTCCACCCCACTTGATTTTAAACCTTAATGAATTGAAGGTACAGTTAAAAGTCAATTGAGAAAATTTGACATATTGTGATAATAAAATGATAAAAACGTTGAGATTTTATGAAATGTTTTATTAATTAGAATTAAATGTTTCCAAGTTCATTCTATCCATGAAGCTATTATTTATCATCATAGAGATAAAGATTCAACCTCAACATCAGATTTTGAATATGGTGGTTTACAGTCTCACACACACTTTCAAACACAATGATTGAAATTGAAGTATTGAAATTTTTTAGTTACTTCAAAAACAGGAGTAGGATTAACATAAATCAATTAATATCATATAAATTAAAAGTTACGATTTTTAAGCTGCTAGTGGTTTTGTTTAATATTTGATCTTTTAAATCGAAAGTGTAAAATAAAGATTAAGTTTCATTTATTTCATATTTGTTTACAAAATAATTAAAAAGCAGTTTGCGTGCCAGGATTCCCAGCAACATATAGGGGAATACCCAACTCAATACCTATACTTACTACAGTAAACCTTATAATGTGAACATAAACATAACATTTTTAGAAAAAATAAACTAGGCATTCACACTTTGATTCATATTACAGGGAAAACCCAAAATTTTTTGTAAGTAAAATTGCTACTTTAGGTCAATGCTGCCAGTTTCACATCGGGTTGGTAAATATCAACAAATATATCAATTGATATTTATAATATCTATTGTCAATTGATATATATCTGTTGATATTTAGGCATTAACACATACTTCATTTTTTTTTTGTAATAAGGTTTTAACCTAAGGGACAGTATAATTTTATCAAAATTGGTTTATTTATACTGCAAATATAAAAGTTTAACATTAAATAAAAATAATAGAATATCAAAAACACTTATTAAGAGTAAAAAATAATTAGGGGAACTTTTACTAAAACCTGGTGGGGGTTTCAGGTTGTTTGTAATTTTTTTTATTTATGAAGATTGTTTAATGTTTAAAAAAAATTGATGTCCATTTACTTACCAATCACACCAATGATAAGATAATTAGTGTTAGAGTCATTCAGAAACTCTACAGCGGTATTATTAAATTCCAGGTTTTCATCTAGCAATTTGATTGGTTCTGACATTAACTTCAGAGGAGGACTAGGTTTGTGTTCTGGGAAGAAGTAAACATCATTATTCAGAAACCTTTGAAATTATATGTATAAAAAAATTGTACATCCTGTACTATTAAAATGTTTTATAATATTTCCAAATTGATATTTAACAACTTTGACAACCTTGGGTCCTTTAAGGTTTTTTATTCAGATAGCTGTGATTGCTGCGAGTAGTTTACAGTTCTGGCAGCTATTAGTGCATTACATTCCAACTGGACTTTTTATCAGGTGCATTTTCAATGTATTAGTTGTGTCAAATTAATAACAAACAGTTTCATTTTATCTAGTTTAAAGTTTACTTATATCTAATAATTTATGATAGAAGCTTTTGCTTTGAATTTTTAGGATAATATAGAGCAGAATATCAGTAAGATAAAATATCCATTCATCCATTGGATCTATGTGTTTTTCTTTGCTTCTTATGAATTTTTGATCATTGTGGATATTATATTTAATTTTATTATTTGAAATGTAGTTAAGAATGTAAAGTACCTCTTTTTTCTTTATTTTCATTCTGCGCTATTTTAGAAGGGTGCATCCCATCACCATCCGATGTTGATGATGTCTTCAATGTTTTTGGGCTGATAGGCCTTTCATCTTTAGGGGCACTTTGTTCACGCGTTTTAAGTATGATTGTTGGGGGTTTCTCTTTCTCTTTTTCTTGTTTCTCTTTATTTTCTTTAGAGACATCACGGTCAGACTTTAGTATTGTTGGTCTTCTAGGTGTTAATGTTTCCTAAATAAAGACAAGTCGAGGAATGAAATTAAAAATACGAACTAAATTTTTAGATGCTTTAAATGTTTATGGATAAATGAAAAGCAAGAGTTTATGATAATTTTGTTCATCATAGTATAGATGTCGTAAATTATTTCATACCTTGGATGTAAATATTTTTTTCTTTTTATCTGCCATTAAAATTTAAAAAAAAATCCTCTTAACACACTGAAACAAATTACAATAACAAATGTCTTATTTTAACCAAGGAACGATACTTTAATTCTAAACTCGATACTAAGTACTCGATACTACAAAAAGGTAAATACTCGCAAGTACTCATCAAAATTGCTGGTATCGAGTATTCTTGCTAAAGAATATATACTATAGGCGTTTGCATTTGACGTTTCAACCTAAATCTTATACTTTTACTCTTTGGTTTTTATTTTTATACTTTTACCCTTTTGGCTGCCATAAAAATAATGTATGACTGAATTGTATAAATGTATGGAAGTATTGGATCGGTTTTCTTTTTGTTTTTTTTTTTCTTTTTTCTCTTCTTCCATTTACTTTGAAATGGAAAGGCAAAGGCAATTGATTTTTTTAATAAACTATATTTTCGTTATAGACATTTTTTTAAATTTTCTTACGTTTCCCAAAAAACAAATATTTTGTAACAATTTTTCATACACATTTTACAAATTTTTGTTTGTCTGTCCGTCTGGTAGATTGTTTTTTTTTTAGGATTAGCCTTCTTTAATGATGTCGATAAATACTCGATACTGAGTAGTATCGATACTTTGGGAGTGATACTTTTATGGTATCGATACCTTGACCCTCGATACCACATGAGTACTCGGTATCGATACCAGAAGCCGTGTCCTAAAAGTTAAAATACAGGTTTCTGATATATATATGTTCGAAAATAGGAAAACATTACAATAGTACCTACTTTACCGTAATCTATGATATTTTGTACAAAATACAAAATATCATAGATTACGTTGCCACAGAGTGGTCGACAAAGATTATAAAACAGATGTGCCACACTACATTATTATTTAAACATATCGATTATTTACATTAGTGACAAGATCATATTCGCTGCTTGTATATGAAAATGAATCTGTGACTTATTTATACAAAAAAAAAATGTGCAACAAGCAAGAATCCTCACTACCTCGAAGAATCGAATAAAAGTATAATAGCTATCGCGAGAATCGATCCTTGTATATCTCTAGACATGCATGACAGCACTACTGCACTGACAGCAATGACAATCGAGAAGACGGACGACGTCTTACGCGACGTAAATCGGTCATAGTCGTAGTAGAATTGTAAGAAAATTGTCTGGTTTTCATTCACAATGGCTGTGGTAAATAAGTTATTCGGTTTAGCGTTAATGTATTTATTGTTTGTATTGTCTTGCGTTTGTTCTGAAGACGTGTGTGTGAAGAAAACTCCATGTATGTGCGTTTTCCCTAATGGCACCGGTGTGGATCTTACACCAGTGTCTGGCTCTTCGTTTTATACAGCCGTATATTTTGTGCACAAGAACAAAGATACGGCAAATGCAGAGTACACATTTTTCACTTACTATTTCCATCCTTGCTCGAATCTTCTCACCAATCGTACAAATTTACCAGACGATACTTGTGATATGCCTTTGTCTGTGAGTATATTATTCGTATTTTATAGCAATTTAATTAACATCTTCCGTAAACTGGTTTTTGATGATAGCCTATGTTCCGGTGTGTCGGGTGAAACTTATGTAGATCAACAACAATTATCATATATTCTTAATTATCTTTAGTATTGGTTATTAATTGTGTTTCAATATTGATTATAAAAATAACTCATAATGTGGCTTATTGTTAGACTGTGAAATTTTTGTTGACCTTATAAAGATACAAACTTGTATTTTAATTCTATAAACTTTATTGATTTAAAATGGTTCCTATTTCAGTTGTATCGAGTGTTTTCTGTTATGAAACTAGATACTACATCAAAAGATAATGCTACATACAAATTAAGTCAAACTACTTGTAATTACCTTGGAAAATCAGAGATGATGCTTTTCAAAGAGGATGGAAAGGCCCTTATCTATGAAAATCTTCCTTCGTAAGTGTATTTGCTTTATAATTTTTGTTATCTGTGTAATAATGCACTATGTGACTTTACAAGTTTTCTTTATAAACTGAAGCGCATATAGAAACCATAACACCAATGCTAAATCTTCATCAAACACAATATTGCAAGATAAAAACTTAATATACTTACACTGGTTTGGATTGATCTGTTAGGAGCTTAAATGGGCCTAGTCCAGAATGGATGGTTGCTGACAATTGCATTATGCAGCAAGCTATTAGCTTAAAAACATGTTGTAAACTAAATTAAAATTGCTCAACAAAATAAATTTAGTTCTTTATTATAATGTTTACAAATGCTATAGCATACCCTAAAATTATTATCACAGAAGATGAAATTTAAATTAAGAATTAAAATAATGTGTAGGTATTTTTTAGTTTATAATGTCTACTTTTAATCAATAAACAGCCTGTGCATAAACATCCATTAGCTTAAAGCAACATTACTCATACAAATTTTTCATTCATTAGAGCTAAAAGGCATCATTAAACCTAAATAAATGTTTGTGCAACTTACCGAAAGTGTGATATTAGAATAATAATAGGTCGAATTTGTATGGACCTGCTTTTTTATATATTTTTAATGTGAAGTCGCAATTGTTAACAATTTAACTACTTTCACAACATTGAAGTGTATCTAGCTTAAGATAAATAACAATCAACATCGCAGTTGTTCATAGGCTTATATATTACAATTGGTAAAAATTGTTTCTAATTGCTTTCAGAAACACTACAGTGCAATTAAGTTGTGCTCAAGGTGTTGATCAACTGCATGTTACATCTGTTGACGAGCCAAATAATATTGTGAGTATATTTTTATTTACTGAGCATAAAATATATGGGTAATAATTGCACTATCAAGACAGTATTTGTTTGTGAAAGACAATGATGATTTGATAATTCTAGATTTTTTTTTCTCCAAATTAATCATTTTAGATCCACAAAGGCTCAGGGGCAATGATAATCAATCTTTATATTATTCCATAAACTCTTCTCAAATAATATTTACATTTACACATAACAATTGTGCTAAAGAATGCTAAATTGCTTGTTGAGACAGTTTGGAACAAAACTAAAATTATTTGGAACAAAACTAAAGTTAAACTTCCCCAAGCTTCAAATGGCATGTTAAGTTGTCGATCCCAGTCGCATCTGTAGTTAGTAACATGTATCAATCTGCAGTAAACCCACATTGTCTTTACTCATTCTTTCTATAAATTTCAATTCCATCAACAGAAAAATCCTATGACCAGTATTGGGGACATTAAAAGACGTGATGATTACGGCTGTTCATTTTAAATTTCAGATTCTTACCTTCTATTCAAGCCAGGCTTGTTTGAAACAAATAGAGCCAGAGGGATCTGGTCGGTCGTTTGGGTCCACTCTTCTCATAATATTCTTTTCGTTTGTCATATTCTACCTTGTTCTGGGAGTTTGCACAAAGAAATTCCTCATGGGAGCAACGGGACTAGAAGTTATACCCAATTTAGGATTCTGGACTGATCTACCTCATCTCGTCAGAGTAAGTAGTTAATATGTTTTAAATATGATTTAATACTTATATACTATTTATTATTGGTTTTTTACACTAAATAGATTACAAATTAATTGTTAGTAATTTTATAATTTAAATTGACTTGTAATAGTATATGTATTTTTGACATCGAATAAGTGTATGTAATCAGAAAGTGTTCTGTTATTTATATCCACGTTTGCATGCCGTGGCAACCTATAATTAAGGCAAAATTTAGCATCGATTTTATATTATAAGCACTGAATAATTTACTTATAGACGATTTGTGTCTTGTTGGTTGTCCTAATCAAATAAATAAATAAAAAAAAAATGCTAAATGCACATGATTATATCCCTATCAAACATGTTGAAGAAGGCGAAAGAGACAATTTTTTAATAGTTTATATGATAAGATATACAACGTGTCCCAAAATTCAAAGATAAGCGGGCGCCAAGAGGTAGACCTGCTCATGTGTACTTATGGAAAAATAAGAAAAAAATTATATCTTATTAATCTTTTTTATTATAAAATAAAATTCTAAAATTTTCGAAAGAGTTGTAGTGAATAGTAGTGCTACTTAGGTATCCGATACCAAAAAAAGATTGAACATAATTGAGAAGTTGTGGTCGTGGTAGTTGAAAATATCATAAAAGGTGTAAATTTTCGAAGATTTTCGAATTTAATTTTATAATAAAAAAGATAAGATATAATTTTTTTCTTATTTTTCCATAAGTACACATGAGCAAGGGTACCTCTTGGCGCCCACTTATCGTTGAATTTTGGGACACGTTGTATAGAAGCCCCCCAGCAGTCACTTGTCATCTGAAGTGTAACTAATTATATTAAAAAATATATATATTTACGCAATAAAGATGTTGATAAGGTTCAACTGGAGTATGGATGATTTCTGTTTGCTCGTTCCATTAGTGGATAAACCGATGTCCAAAATAAGCCACCAAAATTATCCACATTCGGCATGCAGATCAACCAGTAAAAATTAGCCATTATAGCAGTAGACAATTGTGTTGAGCCTTCATACTGTGAAGCACAACAACATACAATACCAATATTAACAATTGTTCTTAAATTCATATCTATAGTTGAGCGAAAGAATTACTTACTTGAGAATATGTAAACAAGAATAAAGTAAGAAATGTTGATAGTTAGAATTCTATTATTATTAGCTATTAACAATTCTTACTTCATTCGTCTATTGGATAAAAATATGTGCTTAAATAATTACTTTGACTTAGGTTTTGCTCATTACACATCATATTAATATTTTGGTCAAATTACATTGGCTTAAGTTTTGGTCATCACAGATCATATTAATATTTTGGTCATCACAATACAGTGTCGATAGTCACGTGCGATGTATAATATGCCGTGTGTTCGTAGGATGGGTGGGCGTTCGCGATAAACGGTTTCAAGTTGCCTTCGCGCGGCGTCGGCTCCCCCGCCGCGTCCGACCCCAACAGCTACGACAGCATATAACATCACACCGCCGGCGACCTCGCTCAAGGTCAGTTGCTCTTGCTCGAGTAGCCCACTCGCTCTACCATAAGAACTCTTATTACACACAGTGAAAGCATCTACCAAATTTTCTTTACTTAGGCAGTGAAATTGTGTGAGATTTTGTACAAGTGATACTTGGGGTTAGTGTATATCTGACGGAAGATATGTTACGCGTCATCGATCACGTTATACAGGGTTATTACTTAAAACACAAATATAATAATAATCTCACAGTAAGAGATAGTATTCATTAAATTTTTAATACATTTTAGTTTGAATTACTGTTTGAATGTTTATTACTCCACACGCACTTAGTAGGCACATCACACAGTGCAGCAGCGTAGCGTCGTTCTTTCGCTTATAAATAAAACAAAAATGTTACGATATCACAATAATTAAAAACATTTGATAAATTTTAGTTTTATGTTAGCTATCTAGTTATGCGAGATTACTGCTGTTTTTTAAGTACCTACAATATAATATTCAACCTTGCACACTTAACCGATGATCCGTCAGTCCGTCGAGCGTTAACGCATACTTCAGTTGATACGTTCGATGGTTCTTCCGTCAACTATACAGCGACGCTTAATGTCAAATTTTGAAGTCAATTTTGAATTTAAACTTCAAAATATAAGGTATTAAAATCAAATGACAAAACGGTCAGTTTTTGACAGAAAACCTGTCGTTTTGTTACTGTATTATCTAGTAAGCACTGTGTATTTATTGAGTTAATTTTCTCGATCCTGACTTATTGTAGAAATGCTTTACACTGCATAATAATTATTCGAAGGACTGCAAATAGGTAGATCGTAAATATTCTGGATTGTACCTTAAGTGTGATACAAAATCGAACGTCAAATGTAAGTTAACCAGCGGTAGAAATTTGCTAAGTCAAGGTTTTTGGGATAGTGAAGCTGAGCCACATAAAAAGAAATGCTTTTGAAAATTTCAATTTTCAGTGGTAATGTTTATAAAGAAATATAAATGGGCTAGCGTCTTCAGAAACCTTAGATTAAGCGTTAATTTAATTTCTTATTACGTGGTTGTCTTAAGGAATACTTTTCAAACGAAACGATATTTTAATACAGTAGTAATTTTTTATTATATTATAAAATATAAAAAAATGTAGCTTCTATAATATTCATGAGAGTGTGGTAAAGCAGCGGCGATTGATTGGGCAACTTTTAGACTGTTAGTGAATATAGACCTTATTTTATTTATATTATAGTCGAATTTATTAAATCTGAGAAAAATAATAATTGTATTAAATTTTCTTCCAAGCTAATATTGGTGGCAATTCTCTTGTTTCATACTTTTTAAATTTGATAGCGCAGTGTCGGTCATAAGCTCTTCCGTGCTCTGTGGCACGCTAAGGGTCCCCGCAGACTACAGACTTCCTATCGGCCGATAGTTTAATCGGATTTTTAATCAGTATGAAGAAGTATGTATAAGTGCGCACATTACAGAGATTTAGTATCGGCCACCACCCCGGTGATGATGATAGGTAAATAGATAAACACTGTATGATGTGATAATGACTCCCGTCATCTTATTTGCAGAATTAAAAATCCACTTTGACATGGTTGACACTAAATTTTAGTCCGAAGTGTGTCAATAGAATTGCCACCAATGTTTATTTCAAAAATTGAAGTTACGATATACTAAGTTGTGTTGCGCACTCATACGAATTAGTTACGGTTATTGTTTAAATATAACTTGTATAGAGACAACTGTTTTCATTTTGTTGTACACACGACTGTACGTCAGTTTATCACATATGTCAAATTTCCTCAATTGATTTTAAACACTATCTTCAACACTTTAAAATCAAGTGGAGAAATTTTTCAATTTTCTATAAGCCGATATGCGGTTGGCTGTACACACGAGTGCATGTAATATTTGCTAATTGGTCAAGATGTATTAAGTTTTTAAATTAATAACCAATTATAACGGTTAATTCGTTTGGAAGAGAATTTAGTTTATCATTTGTGATTGTGAGTTTAGGTTGAGAACGACATATAATTTAAGAGGACAATATCGATACGGTGGTAAGAAATGTGTCGAAGTATTATTTTATAATCTGGGGCCTAATTGTGTAATTTTAAAATCTCACTTTCAATTTGACATTTGAAATATATTCACGAACTTCGCGCTACAACTATTTGACATGTGATAGCATTTGCGACGTTTTTATGAAAGAAATTGAATGAACGATATCGATACTTTAATTAGACGTTAATTGGAATTGTCTAAAGCAGGGCTCGGAAACGTTAAAATAACGTTCAAAATGACGTTTTTAAAACGTTTCTTATGGTTCTTTGGGCAAGATTGCGTTCGAAACGAAAACGAAATGAGAACGCTTTAAAAAACCGGTTTAATCCGCAAGACGGTGCCGCGCGGGCTGTAAGGGCGGCGTACATTTATTTTATTACGTTATTTACAGTATGCGATGCAAAAAAAACGTAAAATAAATGGTTAAAAACGTTTTATTAACCGAAAACAATATAATTCTGTTTTTTTCCAAAATCGTTTTTTATATCGTTCTGTTCGAACGAAACCGAAACAAAGTGTTTTTTAGGTATTTAAGATGAAAACGTTTCGAAAAATATACCGGTTTCCGACCCCTGGTCTAAAGCAAGCGTAAGACGCAAATATTACTGTAAGTTACAAAGTATTTATTCAGATCATTCAATTCCTCATTCGTTCTGAAAGCGGTTGCGACTTTAAACGTTATCTAATTCCATAAAACGCTATCGAAATAGAAATCTTTACCTTTAAAAGATATTGCTATAGATTTTGAAATTACATAATAAGCTACTGATAGTTTTCGTTTCCATCATTAATATAAGTTTGTTGGTATGTCACATATAGACAGTTTGTTTTGTTCGTATTCGTACTTGTAGCAACGTCTTGGTCACATATAAAAAACTCATTATAAAGTTATAATATTACTCGAATAATTAAAGATCTTGCGGAATGGACCCCCAAAATATTTCTCGTCATTAATCGGCCTAATATTAAAAAGTATGTTTATGATTCAATTGAAAGTTCTGAATTCGTTTGGTACACAGTTGGAGTATAAGTATAATCTTAATTGTATACAGGATTTAAATAATATATAAGTCATCGTTTCTCAAAGTGTATCCCGTGAAACTCTGGTCCTTCGTAAAGCCTATTTTGGGGCTCCACGGAAATCTTATTTCGTCAGATTAAGAGTAAAGTAAAATATGTAATTGATTAATTATTGATAAACAGTACATCCAAATGTAAGCTTCTTTTTAATTTGGGGTACCAAACCAAAAAACACCAAAAACCATCGCCAAAAAGTTTGTGAACGGCTGTTTCAATCTTAAAAATGTTGGAACAAGTTGCGAAGAGAAATTACAAAACTAGGTCCAATCAACACTAACGAGAAAATATTACGTTAATTATAACCAAAGTTGTATAAAATGCGTCATTTTATAAATATAATGCACATCTTAATCTTGATCGTTCTATTTTAAGAAAACAAATTTGTATTCTTATTATTATAATAAATACTGCTATAACTTTGAATAAAACTGAAGACCTATGAAAATTTATCTATATTAAAAATAAGTGATGTCTATTTAAAATATTTTTGAGGTTAATAATATTTAATATAATAGTGTATGAAAAATTCGGTGTAAAAAAGACATGGCCGATTTGAAATTTACATTATTATAAATTCTTCAAGAGTCGTACATCATGTGATTAATATTGTAATATGATTGAGAGGAAAAATAATAGTGAGCGACTTTAAACGTTTTGTTCGATTTGCTTTTGTATTATTACTGTTTATAAATGAGTGCCAATTCAAATATATATTTTATAAAAAATGTATAGAAATAAAATATATAATGGTCAGTAACAATTTAAACATAACAGCGCATCAGTTTACAATATGTCTAATCTGTAGTTGATTTAACCCTCTATTGCATGAATTATTAAATTTAATAGAAAAAAAATATTTTTATGTTTTAATGTGCTTTATTATGGCTTATAAGACAAAATATAAAGTGAAAAGAAAAATAAGTTTATTATTTTGGAAAAAAAAAACAGAAGCCATTTTTGGCTTCCGATGCACGACAAATAAACATCATACAAGGTGAAATTCTCTAAAACAGTTTCTTTTCTCATTCAAGCATAGAAAAACATAACATTTCTCACATTTTATATGGGAACGCAAAGAACAATCATACTGACATAATTGACGAGTCCTTTGATGAATCGGAAAATGGTCAATTTTGTCTGAATGTACTGAATTTAGAGGTAGCTCTTGCACTTTTGCAGAGATTTTTCGTTGTTAACGTTAAAAAAAAGAACTCTGAATGCATGCGAAGCCATTTTAGGCTCAAGTTTACTTTATCATAATGCATACGAAGCCAAAAATGGCTCCCGTAGAAAATAATGAAAATAAAGTATAAAGAACAAATATTTTGAATAAAGTGTAAGAGGCATCAAAACCAGAGGCTTTGTAGAACATTATTTATATTTTTGAATATCAATATTCTTACTTTTTCTATTTAATTTTCACTAATAAATTTGCAGTAAATTTCACTAAGAACGACTTTGCGTACGCACCGGAAAGAAGTGAGGTTATAATAACATACGACTTTGGCCATAGACAATAAAAATTGCGTTTCGTTTCAGTTTGAACTCCCTAATATTACTGTGATAAATTTTAAAATTTTTGTTTATAATTAGGGTAGAAAAAAATTACTTAAGTTTAGCAGCCAAAAATGGCTCTGATAATATATTTTAAAATTTTACGGTCAAAATACGATAATTATCTGTTATGAGCTTAACCTGACGTACTATTGACTGTATATACTATATCACATCAAGTTTCTAAAAAAAATCATAATGTGCAATAAATTTAAACTTATTCTTCAACACATTATATCTTAAAAGGGATATCATATATAAAAAAAAATTACGAGGTGTGGAAACGTAACCAT